TTCTCATCTGAGAGCGGTATTCAAGCATCTAAAGTTTATTGGATTCAAACATCTAGCATCAGTTAATGCACATTATATTGCTTGGGTAGTGAGATTTATTGATATATTTCCTCCATTATACTCATCCAACCAAACCTCACTACAATCCGGGTCATGGCACCAATGTGACTACTCTGCGTTTGTTCTCCTAAGTCTAAGTTGCAGTTGAACTGGCATCTCTCTCACAAAAGTTGAATGAGTTACAGTCAATGACTCTTATAGCATCAGTAGCTTGTGCACAACCTTACTCCCATCTGGGTCACGGCACCAATCCAACCCCTCTGGTTACATTGCCCTACTCTAAGCCAGTATCTCTGGAATGAGTGGTGGGTGCACTAATACAGAACTCCCTTCGCTGTGTTAATCTCCTTTGAGAATGTGTGTATCATTAATCTTTTCGAGTTCAAGTTAGCTCTTAAGTAAATTAATTTGTGTGTTAACAATGTAATCCCTCTTGCTCTAATTGCCTGCTCTGTTCTGGTATTCTTGGCTCCACTTGACCATCACTGGCCCGCTCAAACCTGCACCTCTAGTTCAGCTCGAGATGGCATATTTGTAGAAATTGAGCAGAATTTGAACTCCGGCATGGGAAGGGAAATGCACTAACATATGATATTTCTTTTGGCCAGGGAAATTAGCTTTACCAAGAAAGCTTTTACTAGGTTGGCCTCTGGACAATCAACCCTCATCTTTGTCAGTAATATAGTTTTGAAGCAGCTTGAAGATAAACAAATGTCTGATGCATTTTAATTTAGGATGAATAATCTATAATCATCTTCAACAGATTTTTGCTTCCATATAATAGAGATTGATTTGCCCACAACAGAACTCGAAGTATATAGTATATTTCTAACAATAGACTTTTCCCTGCTTGTTCTGGCACACAGCTTACAGTTCTGCTGTCTTAATTTACAGTGGCATGCGGCCAGCTGTAGTTTCCCATAAAAATAAATAAAAACGTTATTGCCGTCCATAAATAAAACATTTTGGGTGCAGTTTACAACATAACAGGCAGCTTAATTATCAGAACTGACATAATGAAATTGATGCACATGACATTAATCCTGACAGATGTTCTCGGTTATGTTGAAAATGCAGACATAAAGTAAAAGATACTTTAGATGTTGTAGATGTAAAAAAATTACTGTTCTCTGTTCTTTAAAATGTCAGATATCAAAATGTTGTGTCAAATTTGTTTAAAATAAGTTTGCAGTATATACTATGTACCCTCTTAGTATAGTAAACATGTGTTATTATTACTATTACTATTATTATCATCATTATTATTATTATTATTGGTTTTATTTAATAATAATAATAATAATAATAATAATAATAATAATAATAATAATAGTAATAATAATAACAACAACAACAACAACAACAACAATAATAATAATAATAATTATTATTATTATTATTATTATTATTGTTGTTGTTATTGTTATTGTTATTCAATTTTGTTGATCAAAAAATATTGATCCTGATCAAATCCTTATAAAGATATTGTTATTATTATTATTATTATTATTATTATTATTGGTTTTATTTAATAATAATAAAAATAATAATAATAATAATAATAATAAAGTTTTGTTGTTGTTGTTGTTGGTGTTCTTCTTCTTCTGCTTATTCTTCTTCTTCTTTATATTCTTCTTCTTATTATTATTATTATTGTTATCAATAATATTATTATCATTATTATTATTATTATTATTATTATTATTATCATTATTATCATTATTATTATTAATATTCATATTAATATTAATATTCATATTCATATTCATATTCATATTATTATTATTATTATTATTATTATTATTATTATTATTATTATTACATATTTATGAAATTATGTTCATCCAAAAACATTGATCCTGATCAAGTCCGTATGGAAATATTTATTATTATTATTATTATTATTATTATTATTATTATTATTATTATTATTGTTATTATTATTATTATTATTATTATTATTATTATTATTATTATTATTATTATTATTATTATTATTATTATATTGCATTTATTCCACTGTGTTGCTCAATGAAACTGTGAAAAAAAAAAACTAAATACTCTTCGGCAAAAAAAAAGGTTATTGATTTTACAATTCTCAGGCATTATAAGCAACAGTAAGTTTTGACACTGACAACATATCAAAAAAGAGCTCATATTGTATGTACCTTGCGAGAGGAAAGAACCAAGATATCTTTCCAAACTCAATTAGAACGACTGTGCCATTTTAAGATAAGAAATGTTCTGCTATTATGAAGAGCCTCGACACTCTCTGTAAATGGAGTTTATTTATTTATTTTTGCCGAAAGGCTCTGCCTGGAAATACTTTCATATCATTGCAATAACTAGCCCTAGATTACTTCATGCACCAGTTATCATATGCATAGCAGGGTTATTCTAGTTAAATCAAAAAAATAAATAAAATAAATAAATAAATACAGAAAATGTTTCTTGAAATACAATCTATAAAAACTGTATAAACAAAAGCACAATAAGCACAACACTAAAACTTAAACTAACATAAAAAAAGCTAATTAAAACATTAATACAATATATTGAAACAACACTGATGCATTGTCAGTGTTTAGTAAGCTATGCATTAAACCTACACAACTCCACATCCTTATAAACTCAAAGTTAAAATGTTTAGCCCTCCTGTGATTTATTTTTCAAAAATTTCCCAAATAATGTTTAACAGAGGACGGCATAGTGGCTCATTGGTTAGCACTGTCGCCTCACAGCAAGAAGCTCACTGGTTGAGTCCTGGCTGGACCAGTTGGCGTTTCTGTGTGGAGTTTGCATGTTCTTCCCGTGTTCGTGTGGGTTTCCTCTGGGTGCTCCGGTTTCCCCCACAGTCCTACACAGTCCTACTAAATTGGCTGTAGTGTATTAGTGTGTGTGTAAATGTGAGACTGTATAGTTGTTTTCCAGTACTGGGTTGCAACTGGAAGTGCATCTGCTGAGTGAAACATATGCTGCAATAGTTGGCGGTTCATTCCATTGTGGCAACCACTGATAATTAAGGGACTAAGCTGAAGAAAAATGAATGAATGAATGTTTAACAGAGCAAGGACATTTTCACAGTATTCCCTATAATATTCTTTCTTCTGTAGAAAGTGTTATTTGTTTTATTTTAGCTACAATAAAAAACAAATTTCATTTAAAAAAATAAAAATAAATAAGGTCAAAATTATTAGCCTCTTTAAAGGTCCCATGAAGTACTTTGAAATTAGCATTTTTCTATTTGATGTTTGATGTAATCTTAACCAAAACATGCTGTACAGGGACATACTGTAACTCCTCCTCTTAAAAAAAAAACAAACAAAAAACAGCTACTGTAATAATGTTTTGTTTAATCACCACTCTGCCAGTGAGAGTTTTTGAGCTCAAGTGCATCAAATGAAAAGCAAATGAGATATGTCTTGAAGAGGGCGGAGCATGTCCGATACTAGAGAGGCAATTTGATTAGTTATGATGTGATGAAAAACAGTAGTATGAAGTGACAAGCATAAAACAGGTGGAATAGGTTGAAGTGATAAACTACAAGCTTTACATGTTTATATAAGTTTTATTTCTTCTAAACGTGAATTTTGCCACTGTTTTGAAGCACTCGAGCTAATAGACATCTTAAAAGCCAACAATACTAAAACTGACACCTAAAAAACTTGTGGCAGAACTGTGAGCAATTCTTTTTGTGTTGGATACTTTATTACATATTGTGGATGTAGTGTTAGCTTGTTTTTAAGTTGTATATACAATTGAAGTCAGAATTATTAGCCACTCTTTGAATTTTTGTTTTATTTTTTAAATATTTCCCAAATGATGATTAACAGGGCAATGGAATCTATACAGTATGTCTGATAATATTTTTTCCTCTGGAGAAATTCTTATTTATCTCATTTCGATTAGATTAAAAGCAGTTTTTAATTTTTTAAAAATCATTTTAGAGACAAAATTATTAGCCCCTTTAAGCTTTTTTTTTTTGATAGTCTACAGAACAAACCATTGTTTTACAGTATAATAACTTGCCTACCCTAACCTGCCTAGTTAACCTAATTAATCTATTTAAATATAACTTTAAGCTGTATAGAAGTGCCATCAAACATATTATAGTAAAATATTGTTTACTGTCATCATGGCAAAGATAAAATAAATCAGTTATTATAAATGAATTAAAACTTTTATGTTTAGAAATGTGTTGAGAACATCTTTCCTCTTTTAAACAGAAATTACAGGGGGGCTAATAATTCAGGGGGGCTAATAATTCTGACTTCAACTGTAAGTCTTCGTATTTTGTTTTGTTATTGTGATACAGTACTTTGTACATTTTTGCTATTTTTCTTGTACATATCTTTTTGGGAAGTGGGTCACTGTACATGTACTTTACACTGGATGTTTTTTAGCATCACCTTTGTAAATAAATTCTACCATTGTTTACACTTCCGGGAAAGGTCATCATTTATTGAACTGTTTATATTTAGTGTTTCATTGGTGTCAGGCATCCCACGCCTCGTAGTAAACCCATTTCAGTGTAACTACCCAAATTATTACGACAGCACTCAGGCCATCAAAAGACATCAAAAGAAATCAGTTATAAAAAATGAGTTATAAAAACTATTATGTCTAGAAAAGTGTTAAAAAAAATCTTCTTTCCGGTAAACAGAAATTGGGGAAAAAAATATACAGGGTGGCTAATAATTCAGGAGTGTAATTCTTCAACTGTATATATTCTGGCCTGTTAACATGAAGGTCAGCTAATGCTCTCCTTTCAAACATCAATAGTGTGACTCTCAGCCAAGTAGTCCAGTTCTAAGATCAAAATCAATGGTCAAAATCTCTTTGCTAATTGGTAGGATTAGGCTTATGTCTCTTTAATGGACAACCCAAACATACTCAGGCTCTCCAAAACAGCCAAATAAGCGAATGTAGAATCTACTCACTATCAGTTGTGACGTATTCCTGATGATCTAAGATCCCGGACTCCTGCAGGGAGCGGATACATGAATCCACCAGCTCCAAACCTGTGTTTAGCTCATCCTCGATGTCTTTTTGTCCATCTGGAAAAACAAACAAAGGGGAGGTTAATCGCATTTACACCAAAGCCACTTCCTGAAGCTTCATTCGTTATACTCGGATTCTGACCTTCTCTGATCATCAGCTCACTAAACATCCAAACAGGCTAAGATTGAACTTAATTGGCTGTTTGTCTGACCTTGTTAACCGCCGTGATTCTTGTTCTGTTTCAGATCTGACTGTCAACTCTTCTAGTGCCAGTGTGTGGTCATTTGCCAAGGGATAAAGAGTTACACAAGCTCCCTAAGACAAAGATTAACCCCTGAACTAGAGCAGCACACATACGGCTAGAGAGAAGGATGCTAAGCTGGGAATCGTCTCACTTTAGATGGATAAGAGTGGGACAAATGTGTTGGGTTAAAGATGATTAAAGCAAACATACAGTACTAGAGCTGTGATTACGATTTAATCACAATAGATACATGAAAATAGTCTATAGTTCTGTATATCCCTAGTGTGTATATTACTAGTGTGTGTATAACTAGTGAATAGCACTCGTACAGCCTCTTCACCCTTGTTTATTACTTCGGCCACATAGAGTGACAGATCTTATAGAGTCAATAAACTCACTACAATGACAAATGTTGCAGCTGTTGGACAACATAATGTACTTTTTTAGTTTTTTTGGTGAGAATGTAGGCATTTAGATTGCAACTATGCAGCTTATTTATATGGATAGTATCTATTTTAAATATTTCTAATTTTGGAAATACAGCTTGTTGGCAGCCATCAGCGGCATACTGAGCAGTGCAAAGATGGTTGACATTCGCACAACATGGCGACAGAGACTGCTTAATATATCCTTGCGGGAGAAAAACTTAGCGTGAATTTCAAACTGTAGCTGATCAAATCATTATAAAACAGGTAAGTGACATTCTAATTCGATCTCTCTCTCTTTTTTCTATGTTGTAGTGCTGTATTCATACCACAGTAATCTTGTAGTGTTTGTTTTAATATGACTGTATATCTTCACCAGTGCCGATATACAGCCGTATTACACTGCTACGGGTGTGATGTTGCTCATATATATATATATATATATATATATATATATATATATATATATATATACATACATACATACATACATACATACATACACAGACACACACATTCTCAGTTTCACTTGATTGTTTTTACGTGTTTGACGAAAATGTAATCTATTAAAGATCAGATAATAACTTTCAATTTTTTACAAAAAAATAAACATTTATTTTGTTAAAATTAATTATTTAGACTATTTATCAAAATAAAACTTTTTTATTATACTGAAAATTAAAGCTACTTTAAATTAAACACTGCTGAGGTTAAATATTGGTTAATATAAAAATATATAATTATACAATTCTGAATATAAAATATAAAGTATTTTGGTGTTTGAATAATAATAATAATAATAATAATAATAATAATAATAATAAGAATAAGAAGAAGAAGAAGAAGAAGAAGAAGAAGAAGAAGAAGAAGAAGAAGAAGAAGGAGAAGAAGAAAAAGAAGAAGAATTATTATTATTATTATTATAATTATAATAATAATAATTTTATTAAGGACATATTTTAAATTAGAAAAACATATTATCTGCAGTTTACAAAATAATTGTAAAAAATATATATATGTTTGCTCAAACACATAATTATATAGCTATTTAGATTATTTCATGAATGAAAGAAAAACAAAGACCTGTTTTTTAGATAACACAATACCAAACTTTAGAAATCAATTTTTGATAACCCAATTTTCAAAAACAACACATGGAAATGTGTTATTCTGACCAACTGTCATTATCTGAAAGAAAAAAGTTTCAAATGACAATATCTTTATTTCAGTTTTGGAAGAAATTATATATTTTATATAGAATAAAACACTTATTGACATTTTACTCAAACACAACACCCAATAAAACCACAGAAACTGAGATTTTGGTTGAAAATAGCTGTGTACAGTATATTTAGTTTTACATATAAGCTATGCATGTTTAAAACTACATCTATGCAAACTAAAAAAATAACATAAAATGTGTCTGCAATGTTTTACAATAGTTTTTTTTTCCCAACTGTGAAATTCAAGATGATGCAATGATCCTGCATGCTGCAGCAGAGCTAATTCAGTATGGTTATGAATGTGTTCACAAAAAAAGCAAGACAAATGCCTTAGAGCAAAATTTGAAAAATAATTACAAAAATAAAAAAAGAAGCAGAGAGACATTTACCTTGGGTATTCCAGCGAAACTGCTCATCGGCTGAACTGAAAAAAAGAAAAAGAACACAGTTAGAATTACAGTTACTCCCACAACCTCATTTAAAACACCATTGTACAAAGTAACAATGTTTTTTCCAGGATTGTTTGATGCACACCAAGTGCATTTGAAATGATATATGTTTAAACTGACCGACCCCAGAGTTTTTGTGGTTCAGTTTCTTTTACTCTCTTCCCAGCACTCACTGGGGGATGCATACTTTATATGGTTTCCAGAGGTGTAACAGTCACAATAATAAAGGGTTGGTACGTTTTTGGGTACAGCAGGGGCATACAGTAGGTGGAAATCCCTCCGTCTGATGGTTGTGCAACTAACTCCCAATATGATTATATGAATAAAAAACACAATTTACCAGCCTGAACTCACAAGGAAACGTGACTATTTTATGTTTTGTCAGTTTAGTGGCTATTTTGTATGAATTTGTACGAGTTCAGATGTACAAAAATATATGATTTTAAAAAGGAGGCCGTCATAGGGGGATGAGCAAATTATACTAAATTGTACGAATTAGATTGTACGAATTCATACGAAATAGCCACTAAATTAAAAAGTTATGAATTGCTGTGAGATCGTGTAGATTAACTACACATAAATGGAGAGTTAATCTCATATTAAAGCAATGTTGTTGTAAAAAAATGATAATTAAATCATATTAACAAAAATAACCGTAAGTAAAACTAAGCAGGTGAAAAACATATTGTGTGATAACGGAAGGATGATTCTGCTCTAACGACCCCAGATTAATAAAGGGACTAAGTGGAAAAGAAAATGAATGAATGAATAAGGAACATCCTGGATCTTTATTATTTTTTATGTATTATGGAAGTATTTGATTGAGTTTTGGTATCAGTAGATACTAAAAATCAAATGACTCGGAATCTAGGGCAAAAAAAATGATCGGGACAAACTTAGTGACATCATGAACATGCTTAAAAACAACAAGCAATGTCTGACTGGAAAACAATATGCAGTCCAGCATGTCTCTTGTCCATTTAGTAGTCAATCTGACACACTGAAAAAAAACTTTAATAAAATCTGAACCAAGCATTACATTCCAGAAACAACCCAAGCTCATTTTCACACCATAAATGCCATGTGATAAACAGTTTGCGATTAACGCTTTGGAGTTTTTTCCCCTCCCCATTTCATACACTAGAATTGAGATGTAAGAATATAATTGCATAGCCCGCAACAACTCTCATCTCATAACAACACAACGTCTCTGTCAGGAAAATACAGCAGTGTGGGGGTGAACTGAGGTCATCGCTTCACACGAATGCAGATTTGTTTTCCCACTCTCCCAGATCTGGAATCAAAGGTTAAGCGGGATAATGCTTCCCACCCTTTGGATCATCATTATTATAAAGATTTCCCATTCATACTGAAAAAGAATGCAAATAACGCAGCACAGCCACATGGTGGGAGTGAGAACGGTGCAGAATATTGGATTTCCTGGCTCCTGATCGATGCCTGCATGGACTATAGAATGGAAAAACAGAGTGAAAGCAAGGGAGAAAATAGGGACGGGTCTAAAATCGGCTCTGTTTCGGTTGACTGCCCATCTACTGTATAGACGCCTTCAGGCATAGCATGCTGTGACCCATGATCCTCTGCTGCGGCAGCCTGACAAACTGTTAGAGGGTTTCCTGCATCGAAAAAAGTCCATTTATCAGCAGTAGATCGTTGCATGTGGTGTCAAGGGGAGGAAAAAAACAAAAAAACCCAATGTGTTTACCAGAAAAACGTCCTACCCCCAATGGCAAACACTTCTGCTGCCCACCGTTGTCCCCCATTGGCAGACAATCACAGGCATTTATTCATTCAATGTTTCCAACGGCTGGAATTGGGAATATATATCTAAAAAAGTGCAAGCGGCTGGGGTGACATTGGAGTGGCGGTGGATATTTACAGCGTGTGTCCTTGTTCAAGGACCGAGGGGAGCAAGGTACTGTGTAAACTATAAACAGCAAGGAAGATGTCCAGGTCATTTCTGGAAGCAGACGAGGATGGAGAAGAATTTCATTAGCGTGTGTGTGAAAATGCTGCATAGAAGACTTTTTCATGTTAATCCTGAGCTCATAAAAGATTATATGCAGTATATACAGAGCTGTTTATGGATTCTGTCTTCTTGTTTATTAATTAATTCATTTTCTTTTTGGCTAAGTCTCTTTATTAATCCGGGGTCGCCACAGCAGAATGAACCGCCAACTTCTCTAGCACATTTTTACGCAGCGGATGCCCTTCCAGCCGCAAACCATCCCTGGGAAACATCCACACACACATTCACACACACACACTCATACACTACAGATAATTTAGCTTACCCAATTCTCTTGTATCGCATATCTGTGGAATGTGAGGGAAACCGGAGCACCCGAAGGGAACCCACAGAAACGCAGGGAGAACATGCAAACTCCACACAGAAACGCCAACTGAGCCAAGGATCGAACCAGCGACCCAACGATCTTCTATCTATCTATCTATCTATCTATCTATCTATCTATCTATCTATCTATCTATCTATCTATCTATCTATCTATCTATCTATCTATCTATCTATCTATCTATCTATCTGTCTATCTGTCTGCCTGTCTGTCTGTCTGTCTGTCTGTCTGTCTCTATCTAAACACCAGATGTTGACAATGACCAAATAAATCCATATACAGCATAAAAAGAAAACAAATCTACAGTAATTAGTTTACAAATGAAGCTATGTGTAATACAATTAAATGAAGCAGGGAAAAAGAATTGAACACATGAAGAAAGGAAGGTGTAGAAAGGCAGTGAATGTCCAAACAGCAGCTGAAAACTCTCAGTAGTGCCTTTTCTCATTGTAAATGAATATAAGCCACTTCAGTCCAGCATCTACATTATCAGGATGATGAAGATGAAACCAGAGTGGACATTTCAGCAAGACAATGATCCACAACACAGCCAAGGAAACTCTCAAATGGTTTCAGAGAAAGAAAAGCAAGCTGTAAAATGGCCCAGCCAATCACCTGACATGAATCCAATAGAAAATGCAAAATAAAGATCAGATGGATAGACAAAACCCACAGAACCATAAACATATTTACACTGTTGGAACATTGTCTTGCTGAAATGTCCACGCTGGTTTCATTATTATTATACACTGCAATCCTGTGAAATTTTAATTATTTAAAAAAATGTTCAAGTATTTTTAATATAGAGGCGATCACTTTTCAAACATAATATTTTTAATAACTAATAAATCATTTATTTCGTCTTCGCCATGGCAAAAATACCTAATATTTTTGTAGTTATTTTGCAAGATATTAATATTCAGCTTGTGCATAGGCCGCAGAGCTCGGGGAAGAAAAGCAGCCAAGCATTAAAAACCAAAACAAAATAGGACTAGAGCTTGCTAACGAAAAAAAAAATAAAAATAAAAAAAGTCAAACTGACCAGGGGCAAAAATAACAAAACATGACTGGACTAGACAGGTTCTGAAAGAGCACTGGAAGTAGATGATCATGCAACAACAATCTGACAATAAACAACAATAAATGAGAGGATGATGAATAGAGTGGAAGATGAAGGTGAAATAAGGAGAACTTCAAGGTGAGGAACTTCAAAAGAGAGGATGGGCAGCAACATCACAATAGCTATATTTACATCCACCTGTTTATATGTGCATTTTGGAATATTTTGGAACATAAAAAAGTTTAATGGAATGCCAGCATACGCATACATTTTGAAAGTGTGAGTAAAGGATAAGAAAAAATGTGAATGCGTTATGAATTCATTGCATGAAACGCAACTATAAAAGGCCCACAGTGGTTTCTCCTACCTCAGCAAATTCCATTTTTATATATCTATATATTTGGCACCAGTTAATCTGGAAGTTAAAATTTTGTTTTCTTTGACTCATTGGATGGAAACATTACTTGTTTTATGTGATGTGAAGTTTATTTTTAAACAAATTTTGAGAGGATCATGTGCTATAATTGTCCACATCTAGTCCCGCATTAGCTATCACATGATTCACCAATCAGACAATTCCTAACTCACTGTAAATACGTTTTTTATTTTCAGCATCTTCCTCTTGAAGAATCTCCCCTCCCACCCCTACTCCTCCCTCCTTTTTCTAGATTGGATGACACAGCGGCCCAGTGATTAGCACAGTGCAAACATCCCTGGTTAAAAGTCCTTAATGGAACATTTAACATTTTTTAATTGGAGCTTGCACTTTCTCTCGCTCGGATTGGTTTTCCCTGAGTTCCCCGGTTTCCTCCCACAATCCAAAAACACGTAACATAAGTAATTTGACCATATCAAATTTGCACTGTAGATGAGCTCTTAGTAAGCACTATAGCTATCCCCATAATCTGTCATTAGCCATTAATAAGCCGGGGGAGTTCACTGAGAACTTCCTGAGCTCAAACTTTCCTTTCACCCTGCCAACAGGAGGGTGCCCAGAGCTTAAGGATCTTATAAGCTCGGGGCTCTCTTCTGGGACAGCATGCCAAACAAGCTTTATTATCTATCATCAGCTAAGTGTGAACTCTTGAAATTCCAGTTTTCTGTATAAGAGTAATTCAAATCTTTTGAAGACAAAGACAAATAAGATCTCAGCTCATTAAAAAAAATTATATATTTTATACAGAATTATTATTATTATTAATTTTTTTTTTTCGTTTTAAATATTTCCCAAATGATGTTTAACAGAGCTATTTTTACAGTATGTCTGATAATATTTTTACTTCTGGAGAAAGTCTTATTTGTTTTATGTCGACTAGAATAAAGTAGTTATAAATTTTTTAAACATAATTTTAAGGACAACATTATTATAGCTAATTTTAAGCTATAAAAAATTAAGCCTTTTAAGCTATATATTTAAGCCCTTTAAGCTTTATATTTAAGCCCTTTAAGCTATATATTTTTCAATAGTCTACAGAAGAAACCATTATTATACAATAACTTGCCTAATTAGCCTAACCTGCCTAGTTAACGTAATTAATCTAGT